TGGCTTTCTGAAATTTTTATTTTAAAATAAGTGTTTTACAGATAATTATAAATCAAAGACATGCTGCAGGGGAGGGGGAGGGAGAGGGATCAGAAGGAGGGAAGGAGGAGCACAGGGGACTGAGGTGATGGTGCACAGGTGCATTGGGGAAGGAAACCCCATGGAGATTACACCACCAGGGCTGGGGGTGGGGAACAAATATTGTTTGAAAATGAACAATGATATAAAAAAAAAAAGGGAAACAATATGTGTTTTTGTAGTACATAAAAGTAGTCTGCTAGTATTTTATATCAACTGCAAATATTGTGCCACATAATTTGATATGGGAAAATCGCCATCTCTTAATACTTTTTAAAAAATTAAGGTGTCCTAGTTTTACATCCTTATTTGTGTTTTGACAGTATAGGGTTTCCCCCTCAGGTGTGGCCTCCTTTCTGCTCCCACTACTGAAGCACCCATCATCCTGCACCATAGACCCCTGTGCTCTTCCACTCTGTTCTCATGCCCCGCTCCCTCCGCTGGATGCCCAGGATCTATGGTCAGCTTTCAAGGATGGTTTTAAAGCATGTCTTTGATGCTTTGTTTGGTTTCTCTATAATCCACATATAAGTGACACCATCTGGTATTTTATCTTTCTCCTGGCTTATTTCACTGAGCATAATCCCTTCTGGCTCTCTCCATGTTGCTGCAAATGGCATGAATTTATCTTTTTTTTTTTTTTTTTTGATTGCTCAGTAGTATTCTATTGTGTTCGTATACCACATCTTCTTGATCTACTCATCTGTTTTGGGACATTTAGGTTGTTTCCATATCTTGGCCATTGTAAAAAGTATAAAAAACAAAGGAGTGCAGTTTTTATTTTTTTTACTCCACATAAATGTTTTTGTAATCTTTGGATAGATACCTAGAAAAGGAATTGCTGGGTAATATGGAAGGTGCATTTTCAGTGTTTTGAAAACCCTCCACACTGCTTTCCACTGGGGCTGGACCAGTGTACACTCCCACTAAAAGCATAAGAGGGTTCCTTTTTCTCTACATTCTCACCAGCACTTATTGTTTTTGGTCTTTTGATATTGACCATTCTAACAGATGTGGGTGGTAGCTCATTGTAGTTTTGATTTGCATTTCCCTGATAAGTGATGATAAACATTTTTTCATGTGCCTGTTGGTCATTTGCATATCTTCTTAGGAGACAGTGCTGTGCCTATTTAGCTCCTCTGCCCAATCTTCTACCCATTTTTTTTCTTTTTGTTGAGTTGTATGAATTCTTTATGGATCTTTGATATCAACTCCTTGTCAGGTATATAGTTTCCTAATATTTTCTCCTGTTTAATAGGGTGTCTCATCATTTTAGTTACAGCCTCCTTTGCTGTGCAGGCACTTTTTATTTTTACGTAGTCTCGATTGTTTATATTCTCTTCTGTTTTACTTGCTGGCAGGGATGAATCTGCACAGCTATCTCTGAAGCTTATAGCATGGAGTGTTTTGTCTATGTTTCCTTCTAAGGATTTTATAGTTTCAGGTCTTAAAGTCCAAGTCTTGCATCCATTTGGAGTTGATTTTTATGTATGGTGTGAGATAGTGGTGAAACTAGTCCCAACACTTCTTAATGCCACAACACCCACCTCTATACTTGTCCTCATTCAGAGACCAAGAACAGAGTGACTTTTATCATTCTGTGGGTCTTTATTAAGTGTCACCTATGTGTTTCCAAGATGGGTGCTGGGATGTATCATAGTTTGGAACTTGCACATGGTCATGAGACAGCACGGCATAGAGAACAACATCTGGGCATTCTGGAGTCAGAACCGACCTGACTTCTGCCTATGCCTCCTCTTAGCTGGTGACCCTCTGGCCGCCTGCTCAACCTGCCCAAGGCTTGTTTCCTCATCTGAAAAAGTAAGCTGAGAGTATTTCTCATGTGTTTGTTTTTAAGACGCTGGCAAAAAGCACAGTGCTTGAGACTTGCTGTTTGTTAAGAAAACTGCTCAATAATGGTAGTATGTTATTGTGACCATAATATTTTTTATAGTCCAGGATTGGTTCAGTTTTGGAAAATGGTGGCTGTTTTTCTATGTTGATGGGAGAATTTAAAAACCATTACAAACCAGGGGCTGAACAAACCCTATTTCTTAGTGTAATGTGTAGACGCTTACCAAATGGAGCCAGCTGTCACAAAATCAACTCAGGGTGGTGGTGGTGGTTGTTTTTCAAACTTGTGATGGCTAACTGGATGCTTAATCCAGTGGCTGGACAAACTTCTCCACATTGTGTTGTTTACATATTTTCTTTAGACGTGGGTATTATTATGAAACAGTGGTGCAGTGTGCATATACTCTAAGCTGCTTTCTAACAGAACTTTGGAGAAATAGCTTTACTTTTATTGACAGCCAGCTAGTGACAAAATTCTCAATGGGTCTGAAGAAAAAGCATGTAAACTGCAGGTAAATAGCATTGATTAATTTTCTTATAAAAACAAAATGTGTGTTTCTGTGGAAACAAAAATTAAAAAGAAGAAAAATACACAAATTTATTGCTCATCTCATTCTTCAGAGATAACTTTTCTTGTTTGTGTGTATAGGAAGAGTATTAGTTTCCTTCAAAAATATTTCCTTATTTCATTTAATACTAGATTGGGATCTCTAAATGTTACTATACTAAAGTAATTGTCAGCAAACGCTTTCTGTGAAGGGCCAAATTGTAAATATGGGCCAAATTGTAAATATGCTGGACCTTGCAGGTTTGGGGGGGCTCTGTAGAACTACCAAATTCTGCCCTAATAGCACAAAGGGAACCATAGACAATATGTAAGTGCATAGATGTGGCTGAATTTGGCCCACAGTGGGTGGGATTTATTCCCCAGCTTATACAAGAAACACATCAACAGTTATAATAGATTTTAAGTGTAATTATCACAGAGTGCCTTCAATATTTATAGTTTGCTACAATAGTTATAAGAGAAAGTGTATGACTTTCTAATCTTCCAGTTCTTGAAGATTTCTTAAAGGTTTATCTTGTGAGTGCATATTTGGGGAACTTAGATATAAACAACCAACCACCAGGCATTAAAGAAGAATAGTTTTCTGGAGGTCAATTAAAAATGCAAGAACTCTGATGCTGCTCAAAATTAAATGCATGCTTATTCTACCACCACAATTTCCTAAATTCCTAATGTTGTTTTAGGAGCATTCATTCCCATGAAATGTCAGAAAATACATTTTATCCTGGACTATAAAAGGCTGTTGTATTATATGAAGAGTGTGAATCCAATTCTGTACTGCAGCCCCTACCAAGTTCCCGTCACTTTCTCAAATAATAATGTTATTTGTTAGTAGATTGTTCCAATGGGGGAATTCTTGAGTCAATTCCTGTGTTTGATAATTTGAAGCACAGAGGCATAGGCTATTGGTTGTGGCTGTGAAAACTCACTCTGGGACAAATATTAGCATTAGGAGATTTACTAGGAAGTGCTCTTGGAATCTATACCAAAAGTAGTTGGTATATGTGTTGCATGGTTAAATGGTAATAGCACTGGAGATGATATAGCAATTCTTGGTCCTAAAAACCATGGTTCACCCAACCCAAATGCATGTGAACATGAGTGGGACAGAAGTAGAGTGGGGTAGGCAGAGAAGTTGGGCTGTGCTGGATTTGTAACAAAGGCTTAAGCTGACCCTGTGGGAATCTCTGGAGCTGGTGGTGGCCTTTCAGCATGTCCTGAGTTGGAAAGAAGGAGCCTGGCCTTTCTGCACTGATATTGCCCACCTATTGGCTTCCATACCCAGAAGGGAGAGGCAGCTCTTTTTCCAGAAGGCAACCAAGGTTTGCCTTTTGAAAGCACTCCTAGAAGTTGGGAGAGAAAGTCCTTTGTTGTTGAAGGTGTTTCTGGGTGGCACATCAAAGCATCTACATCTCCTGGCTTAGGTCCAGGTGGGAAGCTTACCCAAGTCAAAGTTCTGTTCTTAGTTTGAAAAATGAACATAGTGATATTCTGGGGATTTTAAGTCTGGTTTAATTAAGCCAAGTGGCTTAGTAATTTCATTCAATCATCTCATAAATATCAAGACCTGTAAGTCCTGTAGGTGCAAGGCACTGTCAAATTAGTGAGTTAAGCACAAAAGCAAATGCAAGGTATGGGTCTTTTCTTGGGGAGCTAATAGCCTCTGTAGGGGAGTGCAGGAATATGAGTTGCATGGTTAAATGGTAATAGCATTGGAGATGATATAGTAATCCTTAGTCCTAATAAACCATGGTTTACCCAACCCAAATGCATGCAGAAGGATATCTATTTTATTTTTTAAGCCCCTATCTTTTATAAGTTTCCAATGAGTGATACTGATAATAATCACAGCCTGATTTTTGCCACAGGGGGAGCCTAGGGTTATAAACGAGTGGAGATATGTGGTAAAAGTTGGAGCTTGGCATCATGACCCAGATTTACTATTTTCAATAGACACTTAGTTATTTGAAGTCCCCTCTGTGAGTTAATCCAGTTCTTAGCACTGTGATCTACAACCTTCTTTAGGGTGTCACTTTTTTCCTCCCCTGATGATTGTATATATTTTAGTAGCATATTATAATACATTGCAGATATTACTCAGAGGCCCTATTGAATAAAAATACCATATTAAAAATGAACTTCAACTCACAAATGAAATGCAGGTTCAGCTCTTTTTCACCTGCAAGTCTAAAATGAGATCCCCATGTAGTTAAAAAGCTGAACTGGGGCTTCATATTGGAACCTGGAGGACCATGTACCCAGTTCAAGATTATGAAAAAGAATATGTGGAATTCAAATAAGAGCAAAAGAGATTTCATTCAGAACATACACAATGCCAAAATAACTGCTTCCATATTACATGTGTGCAAGGCATATATAAACATGTGAGATCTCATAGTTATTAGAAAATATTGACATCAAATAAGTTTTCTCCAATTCTGTACCAGTGGTTTCATTTACTGATCCATCATTCATTTTTTTCATTCCACACTCCAAACAGATCTGCTGTGATGGATATCTTCAAACAATAGTATCAACATTATTGTTTATGAAAATGGTATTCCTGGAATCAGGTGAACTCAGAGCATGCAACCTTATTTGGTGGCCCCAATTCAACAACATACAGTAGGTGAGTATGTGCCAGGCACTGTGCTAGGCACTGAAAACACAGCAGTAATAGACTTGGGTTTTTATCCTCATGGAGCTTTATTTGAGATGAACTCAGATCAAAATAAATGAGTATCTACAAAAATCAAATAAATGCAAATTGAGGTAAATCTCATGAAACAGAGGAGCAGGATGATATATAGACTTTTAACAGAGAGAATTTTGACTCTGTGCTGGCAGAGAAGAAATTCTGAGAAAGCAACATTTAAGCTGAAGCCTGAAGGATAAGTGTGCTTATGGATGTCAAAACTGGTATAGGGGAGACCTGATTCAAGAAGAGGGAATAAGAAGTAGGTCAAGAAGGAGTTTGAGATAGCCAAGGAATTAAACCAAACCAGCGTAGCTGCGTGAAGAAATGGGAGATAAAGGAGATGGAGCAGGAGAGGCTGTCAGTAGCCAGATCTTACAGAGTTTTGAACCATGTATTGAGAATTTTTGTCTTCATTCTAAGAAAAATTGAAAGACATTAGATGTTCTATGTAAGAGTAAACTTTAACTTGGTCCTGCTGTCTGCATTATGGAGAACATATCTGACATGGACAAGAAGAAACATGATGGAAAATATAGGGGCTGTTTTGGGTAGCACAAGTGAGAGATGATGGTGGCTTGTCTAGGGCAAAGCCAAAGTAGATGGGAAGAAGAAGACATATTAAAGGGTCTTTCAGATGAAATGTCTTAACCTCATGTTAGCTGACTATTTGCTGGTCAGTAGCAGTTATTTTGACCTGTAAGTGCTCTCAGAAATTACTGAATATCAGCTATTGGGACACTGTAATGCTAACATCAAAGACCATTGTGATCAAATGCTGAAATTGCCTATTAATATGTCATGTAGCCAATAAAATAGTCATTACCCTTTTAATTTATCAGAAGCCTATTTGACAAACTGAAACTTAATCCACCTCTCCTCTTCCATAATATGTAGTACTTATCTATTTGGGATCGTGTTGATGATTCGAATATAGAATACATATCTAAAGCACTTAGCACAATGTCCACTATGTCATAATTATTGTGAACTGCTTTTGCTATTATTCATACCTGTATTATGTTGGAGGTTTAGGATGAATTTTAATCACATCCTTTTCCCTTTAAGGTGGAAACCAAAATTTGGGAAAAAGAATAGAGCAGTCATAACTAGACAGATGAAAATATCATCTTTCTTACTGATACTGATGAATTCAAGATCATGGACTGATTTTTCTTCCAACCTCTACCAAATCTAGCAATTAGTACATCTAGCCCAAGAAAGCCTGAATTTGCTCATCAAAATTACTCTTGTGCCTCCATGTGGGACAGAAAGGGTACAAACAAAACCTAAATGCTGTCCCTTCCCCAAGTGTGCTTATGTCATGGAAGAAGTGAGAACACTCACTCCTCAGGTGAACTATAGAGCTGAGAAGTTGAGGGCATAGATCCCAGAGTTAGATTGCACCAGCCTGGTTCTGCCAAACAATAAAGCAAGTCTCTCTGTGTTTCTGTGACTCCATCTCTATCTATAAATGGGACTAGTAATAGTATGACCTCATAGGACTGTTGTGTGAATTGAATAAATGAACATGTTGGTGTCTGTCATGGAGAAACTAATATTTTTGGTCAATTTCACTACCTAAGACAGAATACACAAAGCACTGAACCCCATGATTCTCCAATCACACCTACCAAAGAGGTTACTCTTATCCCTAAGGGGAAAATCAAGTGAGGATCAAATCTCTCTGAAAGAAAGTATTGCTTCCAATGCATTCGTTTCCTGGGACATAGGGTATAAAATTCTTCCTTTGTGCTGAACATTGAGAAAAGGGGAGTAAGGGTTTGCCTCCCATATGGTCTGTCACTTCACACAGTGGGTCTTGAATCCATCCTACCCCTGCAGGTCCCTATCTTCACCTGGAGAGGATGGGCTTTGTCATGTTTATCCTCTGTCATTACCAGAACATAGGGGCATATACTATGCCTTCAGTTAGCTCTCAGCCAGTGACTGAAGGATTTGAACACGAGCATTTTTCTCTGAGTGATTTTGTCCCTAATGAACTAAATCATGAGAAGATGTTGCCTGGCTGCAGAACACAGGTCTTGAGCAGGAAATGTGAGGTTCCATTTGACTGCTCCCCTTCCTCACAATTATCAAGCCTTCTAGATCCTAATTCTCAGAACCACCTGGAAATTGTAGAATTCTAGAATCTATCAACAATTTCTTAGCACAGAGCAAACACTTCTTACATTTACTTTCCTCATTTTTGCCATTTTCCTGATCTATAATTGCTGTCATTTTCTGTCCAAAGGAGAAACAAAGCTTTTGGAAAAGTTTATTAGAGGATGGACACCTTGATTAATTTACCCTCTTCATTTGTGTGCTCATAAATTATGCTTAGCTAAATGTACAATGTAGAGAAAGGATTAAATATAGCTGTGCAACTAGGGAGGATATTATGAGGCCAGGAATATTAGTAAATGTGAAGACAGAGCAGCTGCCTAGAAAACATTCACAAAATAATGAGTGAAAAAGAACACCTAGTTGAAGTATACGCATAGCATGTGTCTGTTATGAGAAATATATGTTTCCTTTACTGTAGTACTCTGAAATGTTTGATAATTACAAATTAAAATTACAAATTACACAATGGATGTTCCTTGGGACTTTGCTTTGTTTGTTTCTATAGTCCCATGACATTGTAGCAGGATTTGGCAAACTATGACAGGCTGACCAAATCAGTCCTACTGTCTGTTTTGTAAATAAAGTTTTATTGGAATAATGCCAGACCTATTTGTTTACATATTTTCTGTGACTGCTCTTGCCCAACAACAGCAGACCTGAACAGTTGTGACAGAAACCATGTGGCCCTCAAAAACTAAATTTTCAACTGAGAGACCCTGTTTTGGGAATCTTGATCCAATTCCAATGTGGGCATGTGTGGAGTCTCCACCATGCCAATAAGCAATTCCCAGATACCAGGAGTATGTCCAAAAATTCAACTCAAGTCTGCTCTATTCTGACACTATCTGCCCAGAAATAGTATCAAATTCCAGAGGTTAAGGGATATTTCTCCCCAAAACATCCTCTTCTTTAGATACCAAGATGCAGGTTCAGGTTATTATCTGGGCTTCTGATCAACCAGCTACAGACTGGAGGTTCCCATGACTTCATCCTCAGACTTCAGGTGACAGCTGCAAATTCAGATACTTTTCTGTGCTTCTGATTGTCTATGAATCAGACTTTCCCACAATCCCCTCCTCATATTTGGATAATTTGCTAGAGCAGCTTACAGAACTCATGAAACCACTTCCCCACTAGACCACCAATTTACTCTAAAGAACACTAAAGGGTATGAATCAACAATCAGATGAGGAGTTCTTTAGGGCTGTTATTGGGAAAGGCCCAGAGCGTCCATGCCTTCTCCATGTACTCCATTCTCCCCACATCTCCACATGTTTACCAACTGAGAAGCTCTCCAACTCCCCTCCTTTGGAGTTTTTATGGAAGCTACATGACAAGGCATGATGACTAAATCATTGGCCATTACAATTAAACTTAACCTCCCTCTCTTTCCCTCTCCAGAGGTCTTGGGAGTAGGACTGAAGTTCCAACCTTCAAATCACAAGCTTGGTTCTCCTGGCAACCCCATCCTTCTGTGTCCCCATAAGCCACCTTATTAACATAATAAGAGACAACTTTATCATCCTCAACACTTAGGAAATCCCAAGACCTTTAGTAGCTCCAAACCAGGAACCGCGGATGAAGACCAATACATATGAGAGATTTATGTTGGTCATATGAATATGTTTCCTATGAGTCATATATTTCTTATAAATCACAATATCACAGGTGCATTACAGATTATAGTTTACTGATCTCTAGCTTAACTTAGTAACTGACACATATTAAGAGCTTAATATGTACTGGAAGGCTGAATAAGTAAATGAATAAATACATGTGAATAAAGAGTAGAAGAAAATTCAGATCACTGGAAATGGTATATTAAAGAGATAGGACAATGCTTTACATTTCTTTTCATTTTATATTCTGTAATATTTGTTTAACAATGCCATTTTTAAAAGTAGTACAAGTAAAATTTTTAAAGTAAGTAACATTATCACCTTTGCAAATTGTTTTGAGGTCATGTGATTCAAGAATTATTGTGAATCTAGATTATTGAGCTGTTTGCCCATGTTTTCATTTTTAGTTCAAAAGCAAAGCACCCTCATTACTAATTATCCTTCTAATTGCGAGTTAACAGTGGGGGAAGCTGGTCCATGGGGATTACTTAAGAAGCTATTCCATAGCAGACTATGTGGGTTGTCAAAGCAGGGAAGGAACAGACCCAACTTGTATAGTAATGTAAAAAATATTTACCAAACTGGTCATTCATCAAAATTAAATTGACCCAAGGCCCCAGGAGGCCTGGGTATCTTAGAGTCTACTTCAGACATAACACTGACCTGATAACTCCCAGTCTTAGGCTAGCTCCTCCCTTTTTAGCGTGATTCTTCTTACCCTGGCCTTCAAAAGGGGTCTTCTTTGTTAAACTCAATCTGTTAACCAAGAAAAGAGCAACCAGCAAGTCTTTACATTTTGAAAAGATCAAGAAAATAAAATAGGAGAAGAGACACTTTGTTTCACACAAGGATGAACACTGGTCCTGCTCAGTGGCTATTTCTATCGCCCAGTGTCAGTGAACCTGGATGGTGCTTCCATAACTATTTGCTGGATGCTCCTTTAGGGGATTTCCACCTAGTAGCTCAAGTTGAAAGGGAAGAAGCGATCTATTTTCTAAAAGGTTACATTTTTTAAAAGACCTTTTGCATACTCCACTTGACAAAGAAACAATGGTTTTAAGAGCTCAGGGCATTCATTTTTCACAGGCAAAATGTTCATCTTTAATGCACATGGCCGTAGGTTCAAAAAGTAATGTTAAATTTGTATATGTTGGCCAGAGTAACGCTATTCAACACTTCCTCCTAGTT